CGCGTTGTAATGAGTGGTGTTTGAGTGGTGGTCGATGTGGATTGTGTGGTGGACTGATTGTAGACTGGTGGGACTGCAGTGACAACTGGAACTGGTTGTAATGTTGATGATGGTTGGACGTATTGTGTTGTATAGATTGAAGATTCAGTGTTCGTCAATATTCCATTAATGCTATATTCAGCGTCGCTTGATTTGTTGGACGTGACAATTGGAACTGGTTGTAATGTTGATGATGGTTGGACGTATTGTGTTGTAATGAGTGGTGTTTGAGTGGTGGTCGATGTGGATTGTGTGGTGGACTGATTGTAGACTGGTGGGACTGCAGTGACAACTGGAACTGGTTGTAATGTTGATGATGGTTGGACGTATTGTGTTGTATAGATTGAAGATTCAGTGTTCGTCAATATTCCATTAATGCTATATTCAGCGTCGCTTGATTTGTTGGACGTGACAATTGGAACTGGTTGTAATGTTGATGATGGTTGGACGTATTGTGTTGTAATGAGTGGTGTTTGAGTGGTGGTCGATGTGGATTGTGTGGTGGACTGATTGTAGACTGGTGGGACTGCAGTTACAACGGGAACTTTTTGTAATTTTGTTGATGTTTCAGCGTATTTTTTTGTGACATTTCTTGTTTGATTTCTGTTTTCATTTAATATTATTTGTTTATTTTCTTTTATTCTTTTTGTGTTATTTCCCGTTTTCTTTTCATTTTCTTTTGTTGTTTTATCTATTCCCGTTTCATTTTCCTTAATTTTGGTTTTTATCTCGTATTCGCTTTTTTTTTCTTTTATTTCTAATAAATTTTCATAATTTATCATCTTGTTTTCTTCATCGCTTATACCGTATTCTTCATTTCTCACCTTCCATTTTAATTGTTGTATGTCGTATATTTTTTCATTTTCTAGCTGATTACACTCTGTTTGGCTTAATTCATCAAATTGATTTCCATATATTCTATTGAATTTTTCTTTATTCATCATTATCTTATTTTGATTTGATCTGATTTTGTTCATTCTATTATATGATTCTTCATTATATTTTATATCATTTTCATTTTCCTCCTGGTTTTGTTTTAATTCTTGGCATGGATTATTTACATTAGAGTTTATATTCATCTGATGACATTCATCATTATTGATTACATCTAATGGCCAACTGCGAGTTATTGATTTTTGATCATTCCATTCCATTTCTTTTATATTCACAATATCCATTTCTAATGGATTGTTATTATAACTAGGGTTAATTTCATTTGTATCATAATTAATATGTGAAATTGTTTGATTCGCTTGTAAATTATCACATTCATTCAATTGTCCATTAATATAATTTAATTGTAGTAGCATTATATAGTAGTAGAATTTCAATAAAATCATTATCATGAATATTATCATTTGTGTATAATTGTATTACAGCTTTACATTAGATAATCAGTATGATATAAAGTTGGATTTTCCCACACTTCAATATGTTTCTTCTTCTTCTTCTTCTTCTTCTTCTTCTTCTTCTTCTTCTTCTTCTCCTGTTTGTTTGTTTGTTTGTTTTTGTAATCAGTAATACTTATATACAAATTTTCTTGTTGGTAATATATTGTATGAACTAAATATGAAAAGAACAAATTAATCTTAAATTTACCTCATTTTATATGAAACTTAGTTGATTTACTAATTCCTTAAAAATGTACACCTTTCTAGTTCTTTTATATAGACTATGGTGAGTTTTCTATGATTAACTAGTCTTAAAGGTGTCAATTATTATTATTATTATTACCACTATTATCACTATTACTGTTACTATTGTTATCACTACTACTACTACTATTACTACTACTACTATTATTATTACCATTATTATTGCTATTACTGTTATTATTATTATTATTATTACTATAATTATTACAGTTCTATATTATTAACCTAATCCATATTAAAGTTATTGATTTAGATTAATTTCTTTTATTTCAATCAAAATATAACCGTTTTAATCCTACATTCATCATTCGTTGGGTTTGTATTTAAAAATTAAATGAAAAAAAAGTCAACTAATAAGGTAAATCATATGTCCTTTATTAATCTTTATTCAGTAATTTCCAATGATATAACTTTTATTTAATTTCACAAGTTGAAATCATGAGCCAATTGAAGCTAGACCACCATGGAAAACCTGAAAGCACTGGACGGCCGTTTCGTCCTAGTATGGGACTCCTCAGCAGTGCGCATCCACGATCCCGCTCGCGGTCTTCGAACCCAAGGCCTTTGGTCTCGCGCGCGAACGCTTAACCTACTGGACCACTGAGCCGGCATCCAATGGTGAAAGTGTCTAACATCAACCAATCCAACTTCCATTGTACTGAGGTAGATACTTGTCTCTACCCAACATGGAGTAGCTTTGTTCTTTATTTTAGTCATTTTAATATAAGTAAAATAACTTTCAATTAAACTTTTACATTATTAGAATTGATTGGTAACATATAAAATGTACTTTGAATACATTATATGTACAGTATTGTAGTGACTAGTAGTAATAGTGAAGTGTGGGCTACTTATATCCATAATAAGTAATATATAACGATCGTCAAAAAATAGAATGTAGTTAAGTAGAAGATCCAAAAAGAAACAACGGGAACGGAAAGCAATTGGTATGAAAATGCATGAACAGTGAAATCTGAGACAATTGATATTTTGCAAATTAACAATTTACTGTATGGTTCTCAGATTTTGGTGAAATATTCTGTAATTTTGTGTCCAGATATATTCGATTGCCCCATTCGTGTTCTTGTTCACTACACTAATAGTGACATTATCGACGAGAATAATAATAATAATAATAATAATAATAATAATAATAATAATAATAATAATAATAATAATAATAATATGGAAACGTGTACGAGGATAAGAATTGCCAAAAAACAAAGGAAAGGAATTAAATTAAAGTATAATAGATGGAGAAGATGGATGAAGAATAAAAGCAATGAGATTAGGAAGAGCATTTAAATAAGGATTAGTCTCAGCATCATGGTAAAGTGGAGAAGATGAAGTGGTGAAACTATAATTTATGAACGATCTTTGAGCAACGCTGAAATAACCTTGAAAATGTCCACCTACTAACTAGGAGTAAATGAGGGTTATAAAATATTGTTAGTATTTGTAATTATGATTTACAGTTGATGATTAGGGTTAGGAAATAGATTCAGGGTTTTCATCACAAACTGATATCAGATATAATGGCGAAAAAGTATTTAGCCAAATGAGTGTATGAATTTTGCGCTAAAATTCGAGACCTATTTTCTTAAATCTGATTGGCCCGTCCATAAATTTTAGTCTCGCCGATGAAGTTACAGAAACAGAATTTTAGAGACAAAGAGGAAATAGAGACGAATAACAAAAAGCAAGAGAAGGAAATGATGCTGAAATGATATTTCAGACAATTGTCAACTATTCATTTTTAAAAGTTGAATTTAAGCCAGGCCACTATGAAAAACCTGGAAGCACTGGATGGCCATTTACTCCTAGTATGGGACTCCTCAACAATGTTTATCCACAATCCCGCACGTGGGACTCGAGTCCAGGACCATCAGTCTGGAGCGCAGACGTTTAACCTCTAGACTACTGAGCCGGCATCCAACGGTATCAATGTTTAATTTCAATCGGTTCATGATCTTGCGCAACCCTTCCAATGCTTCCAGGTTTTTAATTCTGGTTTAGTTTAGACCGACTCATGAATTCAATTATTAAAGTTATTACAATCTCCATAAATCCCCATTCCGATAATTATTCAGTTCACAAATTTATTTTCCAAGTAATAATGTTAAATCACTTTAAATGTAAACAATCAGGAAAAAAACATATGAATTATTAACCTGTCCACAAAATGTGATACAAGCGTTTTTTATGACTGCTAAATTCGCTAAAAAATAATATACTACTATCACAACCACATACTTGTAGTTAGTCTATTAAAATTTAATTCCTCAATTCATGGAATGTAGCTAGTATGGAATTGATTACATGGATTTCATTAAGTTCGGGACTTGTCGACTGGATGTACCTACATTCTATTTTTTTATGTTTACACTGAGACTCAAACACAATACCATTCACTTTACACGCTTAACGAATAATCCATTGAGCTGCTGAGTCTAGATAGACATTGACTTGTGCAATGGGTTAGGTTTTGATTAATTTGTAAGTTGTTCGAATCTTATGACTAATTTCGAAATCAAGAGTAAACACAATACAGGTACTTACAGCTGACAAGTCTCAAATACGTGGTTGTAATTAAACCATGTTAGCTGATTTGAACTATAAATAATCTAAAAAAATCACTTAAAATCTATATAGTAGTTACTAGTTTGATATTTATTGATTGGGCATTGATATAATATGTAAGGCTGAGAAGTAAATGACCATGTACACTACATTCAACAATTTGTTTAGTTTTTGGATATAATTTTGCCACACTCTGGGTCTTATAAAACTTATGTTTTGTTTAACGATGCTACTAACTTTAAGGAAGTAGTATCATAGGATGATAGAATTATAACCGGTGGAATATAGTTACAATTAATGTGACTAGATGGTGAGGTCATCAGCGTCTGATTCTTCAAATTTATTGAGAATCTCATCAGTAGATAACGGATCACTAGGAAAACTAGTATCTATCAAAATTGAATTGGATTTTTGATCATCATTTGGTTTATCCGACTGTTATAAATTGCGGCCTTTGTGCACTGCTAATGTGTAACGTAATGATACTGCCAATTAGAAAGCAGTGAATTATTGATCGCACCAATGACGCGTAAAACCTGTACGAGCAGTCTAGGGTTTTCATCACGAACTGACATCAGCTATAATGCCAAAACTCTATTTAGCCAGATGTATGGATGAATTTCGCGCCAAAATTCGTGACTCGTTATCTTATATCTGATTGGTTCGTCCATAAATTATAGTCTCGCCGAAACAACATTTATACAAGATTTGGCCAAATGTGGCTGTGAATGTGGGAGGTAGTAATTAATAGACAGGGCATAATTCAAGAATGGTGAATAGTATAATAATAGTTCATAGGTCAAAATAAAGCTCATAATAAGAGGGACATGAATATGAATAATTTAGTTATTTAACAATATACGATAAAAATATAAGCATAGTACTGGTCCATAAATGGATCACAAGAATTAGCATTCTTTATACTTATCGGGACATAACACCAACATATTTTTCACATTTTTGTAAGAAATTTCATCAAAAACATGTGAGTCATTGGGATAACCCATATCTGGTAAAACAACTCGAGAATCTCGATAAGTAGATTCATCAGAAACTTTTGTCGCAGAATGATGAGTTCCATCATGCTGCTCAATTGATTTTCCGTTTCTCCATACGCAGCTACTGCAATAATTTCATCAGTATATAACAAGACAACGTCTTTCTGTGAGCTGGGCAAGTCACTGCTTGTACATTGTGTTTCGGAGATAATGGGGTTTGAATGCACTACAGAGTGTCTCTGAAATGGACATTACTGGACCACTGAGTGGATCATGTATGACTGCCACTATTTCGTTTAAATTACTGCTTATGAGTGTTATCTCGAAAGCTGTGTCTATATTTAGGCGATTCTGGCCGGTCCTTTACTTTTAAATGATTACATTGAACTCATTTTACCTAGATATCTATGCATAGAAATCCGTTATGTTAAATTATACACTGTATATCAGTTTCGGTATATGTACCATGAAGAATCACAAATATTGTAAACTATTCAATAAAGTGAACTAGTGATATTTATTCATTAATCTCCATTGATCCACAGTGATAAATAACATTTAAAGATTTGATATTCGATAATTCGAACGTGCTGACCTGCTCATGTAATTCATAATAATGTGATAACTGATTACTTAAAGATTATGAAACATTTTCTGTGTTAGGAACATCATGACATAACTCCTCTAAACACCTCTATCTTTGTATTTATATTCATGTCATTTTATAAAATTGTGACAAATCTTGACGTTTTCTCACCACCTGCCATTTTATAAATTTAGTTAGATAGTAGATGGTCGGATTGGTCTCCATGGTTAAAATGTGGTCAAACTATGGACATGGAACTCAATCAAGTACTCGGACATGTACTAACCCAGCTCCAAAATATGGAGGTACTTATTGTACGGAAGAAAATACTGAAATTCATCCATGTTCGGTAAAATTCTGTCCTAGTGATGGTGAATGGGGTGGTTGGACACAGCCTGTTTGTACAGGTGTAGGTTTATGTCTGAGACGAAGACTTTGTGATAGTCCACTCCCAAACAATGGTGGCAGGTCATGTGTTTGTGAAGCTGTTGAAGATGTGATGTGTGAAGGTATTCCAGTATTTGGTCACCATGGTCTCCTTGGTCAGCATGCGGAACAGGAGGAACTCAAAATCGTAAACGAACATGTGATAATCCAACACCGTCATATGGTGGCACATCATGTCCAGGGCAAGACCTGATGGTGCGTTCTTGTAACCGTGGCCCTAGTCCAATAAGTGGAGGATGGGGGACATAGAGCCCTTGGTCTCACTGTTCACATAGATGTGGTAGTGGTCAATGTAGTCGTACTCGTATATGAGACAGTCCGGTTCCAGCATATGGAGGTGAAGATTGTACACCAACAGGAAGTACAGAAACTTCTGAGTGTCAGTCAAAAGCGTGTCCAGTTCATGGTGATTGGTGGAACTGGTCATCATGGTCAGCCTGTTGGCGTACCTGTTATGTTGAACTACAGACTAGGGAACGTGAATGTACTCAACCGCCACTTCAGTTTGGTGGACGTCTATGCCAAGGATCAGCAAAAAAAATAAGATCGTGTGAAACTCAAAAACGTGGTAGCTCAGGATTTTGTCCAAACAATGAACTTGGATTAATTTCTGCTTGATCAGAATGGTCTTCTTGGTCGGAATATGAACCTGACTACTCGTTAGTTGGCTAAATAACGGAAGAAAGATGAATAAAACGTCGTGAACGAGCATATACACTTTTATCTCCTGAAAATCAGTCAACCCATGGGTGTCTAGGTTCAGCTGAAGAAATTCAAGACTGTACACTTGATAGATAAGTGTCAAGATAATCTACGTAGTGTTAACAAAGGACTGTCAACTGGAACTATTCGAGGCCAACTGAATAATCAGAACATTGGAACCATTCATCTTAATGCTAATCTGTCCACTTCTGCTTCAAATCTTTCTACTAATTACGAATTCCATTTAAGTGATATACCAATAGAAGGTAGTCAATGTTCACAAGCTTTAACTGAAATTTTTCTTCCTGGCACTGGGTATGCAGCAAAAGAGGTATCTGGTGCGTCTAGTGGTCATACAATTATGGATACATTGAACGGAATCACATGGGAATCAGTTGGTCAGTTTGCTGATGGCAGTACAATGCAAATGAGCCAAAGTGTATTACGATCAAATGATTCAGTTGTGTCAACTTCAAATAAATCCATTGTTCATCTGACAACGGATATTTATTTATCTGGATCTTGTACATCGTCTTTAATTGATCCTAAGACAACTTCAAGTCCTGAAGTTGAACTACATGATTTTCATGAAAACCTGGTACAATTAAGCCCTCAAAAAGGCATCCTGCATAGTCATTCGTCCAGAGCATTCACGGTTTATAATTTAGAGAGAGCAAAATCACAAATGGAACCTTATTCATGGATTTCTACGACCCAGATTGTTCTCAAGAGAAGACACACTTAACTAACTCAAGAACTTCATGTCAATGGACTAGAAAATAAAGCAAATTTACAAGCTGGACGAGTTGAGTTTCACACTGAAAGTATTATAAAAACAGTCATGGTTGATAAATGAATAATGAACAAGGTCAAAACGTGACTCAAGAAGACTGGATAAATTGGCCTGTTCAGAAGCTAGAATAAGTTGTATGGGCTTAACATAGTAACCGACACTACAATCTAAGTGTTAGTGGGTGTTGATTTCCATTGTTAAAACCAACCAGGTTTTTGAAATTTAATACAATGAAATTTTCTAGAAGTAGTTTTAATCAAATAAATTCTCATTTTTGGCTGACCAGACTGCTGTGATGAATCTTATTATATCAGTCTGTGACGCTTGTGGCGATTGCTCTTGACTATTTCATGGTACATGGAACTAATCTGCTTGTTGAAATGTATCAAACATCAAAGAATCAAGGTTCGACTTTGACTATCCAACTGATTTTGATCGATTAGACACCTGTAAATCTAATAGTGGGTGTTTTTGACTCATGAGAATCTATGATCTACCACCCTGGTTTTAGTTGACTAGTAATTTCAAGAGTAGTTGCATATTTGTAGGATGATGGGTTTGTGAGTGTCTCGGAATTGATTATTAAATGTGCTGTTGGATGATTTGTAGACTATATGGTATAACAGGATAATATTTCGTTATTCAGATCAATATTATTGTATCAATCGATTATGAACGACCAGACTGACATGTGAACTTCATTGATTGTGACGTTTTTAGGTCAGTATTTCTTGCATTAATCTGGTTTAAACACCATTCAATACGACAAGTGTAAATCTCCGTTCAGAGTGACATTTTTGCTCATTCTATCAATTTGGATGAACTATGTTCAATGTGTACTTTTTTACTGTAACTACATCCACTTTCCCTTCCATGTTATACTATTATGTGCACGAATCAACATATAAATAATTGTATTTCTACCTAAAGACGATGTGTTTCAGGGATTTTTCTGTGAACATGTTTCGGGAAACCAAAACGTTTTGATTACATCAGTCTTTTGCGTTCTTACTTTGTGTCATTGGGAATTTCAGCGGTTCCCATTTCCAAGTATGAGCAATAAGACTATGGACGATATGCACATAGTAGCGAGTACTAGTAGATTAGTGAGATTGACTTTATTGTTGAATTAAATGTCTACCACTATAATATCTTTGTATTTGTTTTTTTTGACAAAGATTATTTAACGAAGATACACAGTCAGTGTATAACATTGAAGAAATGATAATGATTATTTGTAATGAAATTAGAATGATTCATGTGTACGATTTATAACACTGTAGATAATTCATCAATCAAAAAAGTATTTAATCAGGAATTATTTGTATTGCTGTATCTACATGAGTCAAAAAAAAACATTAGTGTAGATTAGATTTGTTATTCATAAAAAATTAAGATACTATTATGTGCCAATTTGAAATGATCTCAGTTTCGACTTTGTTTTTGTATTCCTTAAGAAGATATTAAACCCAACAGCCAAGAAATTGTTACGCTTTTAATGGAGTCTTAAGTGATCAATTTATGTGGTCAATAACTTTTTGATCTATTTATCACGAATTTCAACTGGATTGTTGATCATTTTTAGGTGTATGTGTTAGTTATTATTGAAATCTAATGGTTTATTGTTATTATATAGGACAAAATTATTTACAAGGTAACGATAGAGATGACAGCTCCCTAAGAAGTTATTTAATTGAACACCATAATTAACGTACTAAAATTGGTAATATTGTGGCTTTAAGCCCGTCTGTATTATCGCGAGATTTATTCGTCAATTGAATACGACTTATTCAAACTTAGTACTGTGCTACACCAATGACGTTCGAGCGGTATGAGCAGCCTAGCATCCTTATTGGTCCTTTGTTCGCCTAGACCGTCCACTTGAATCCATAACGCCAATAACAGATTACACTATGCGAATTATTTATTTTAAACATACTTGGTTTATGTACCAAACAAACAGACCGTATCACAACTTAAAATAGGAAATAACTGTGACGACGGACCACCGGTGAACTCGAGGAAGCTGTAAGAGGCTCAGAAGGAGCCGAAGACGTTCCATCCAATCACCTGTCGGAAGAATGTTCTAGAATTCCAACGTGTAGCTTCCCGATTGGATAATGCTAATAACCCCCTGTACGCGGATTGGAAGACTGTAATGATGATTTCGTTCTCACTAAAAACTATAAATACCTGATAATTTTGTACAATGTTTGACACTGTTTGGAATAATATTCCTTTCGTTAGTCTTCTGTTTTCTTATTGCGACTTGGAAGGGTTTGGTGTTCTAGTGCTCAGTTATACGCGGTTATATCAAGAAAAATCAGCTTTTTCAAGTTATAACAATAACGTTTATACAAGATCAAGCCAAAAAGTGTCTGTGAACGTGGGAGACTGTAACCAATAAAAAGAATATAATTTAAGAACAGCAGATCGTATAATAATAATAATTTATAGCTCAAAATGGAGTTTATAATAAGAGAAATATAGATATACCTAATCTAGTTACTGAATAATCATACAATAAGAAAATACATAATATTAGTCTATAAATAGTTCTCAGAAGTTACTTGTAATTTAATCTTCAATAGGATAATAACGGGTAAGGCATGTTATCAATGGATTACTGATCATAGTGAAGTATCTTTCATGGATAAATAATAAAAACTATGAAGTATGAGATTAGGGTTTCTGCAAAAATAGTACATAAATGTTCGGATTTCGTCTTTTCGAACGCATATTCTCAAACTTTCAAACTATCACTGCTACCAAATTTATTTCTTGTCCATCTAGTTTGGTATGGTCAGTTCTGCTGAGTTCTAAAATATATTATGCCTCACTAACAGATTATATACTTGAGAAAAAACTCGTCAGTACAATAGCATAACGGAAAGACAGCAACATTTTTGCTTCTTTCCTGCTGTTACTCATGCAGGTTTAACCACTTCCTAGTACCTATAACACATCGACATGAATAGAAAGAATATTGAAACTTAAATCTCAACGCATCTACACACTTTCTATAGGTTCAACAATTGGTACAGTGTTCATCTATTACTGTTATTCTTATTATCATCGTTAATTAATGTTATCCAAATAATAAGCAGAATATTCACAGTTGAAGTGAAAATAAACCCAGTTCTTCAGAGACCAACAGTTCCAATCCTTATTTAACCTACATATTGTCTTCTGATTTTCAGTTATAAGAAGTCAAATATCTTAATTTCGAATTCGTTGATTTAAGTGAAACCAGGGAATTTCAAGATGTTATCAACGTAACGACATTACTACGTTGCTAAAATCATTATTTGTTACATAATTAACTTACATAATTACTCACTATTCACAATAGTTCTTCAGATCAACAATAGAAAATGTTTATTAAACTAAGAGATTTGGTGTGAAAGAGTTTGTAGAGGATGGTTTGATTGATAGATGATTGGTGTCACCGACTAACATCAGTTGAATGTTCGTTAAAAGGATAGGACACATTTGACCTATCGGTTGACACTCTACACTCCATTCCATGAATACATACTAAATGTTTGAAATGAATGAGTTTTGAATAACAAATGAAACCTGTAAAATAATCAATGCTGTATTATTGGTTGATCAACTATGTGATGAAAAACATGAAACACTTCAAAACACTTCACAATCCATCTGTCTAAATACAGTGTGTAATGTGAAAAAAATCAAGTGCATTATCACGATAATAAGAAAATTTCCAAATATAAATACAACAAAATCGAAAGAGAAAGACGAAGAAAGGATTTTGCAAAATTACAGTATATAATCAAAATGAAAAATAACAGATTTTCAAAACCAAAGAGCAAATTAACAAAAGGAAGAAGAGAAAAGAGAGAAAAACAAAACCAAATAATTCATTGACGAGTTAAGGAAGCATTGAACTTGATTTGAAAATCAGATATATCGAAAAATCGGCCAAAGGCGTCATAGGTTGAAAAAGCGTCACTGGATTGTGCAGTGGTGAGTGTAGTCTCAGTGTTGATGATGGTGGTGATGTTGGGCACGACTTGTGCGTTGTCGAGTAATTGTTCTGTTGTGAGTTGCGCGACATCGGTAACTGGTTGTGATGTTGGAGATGCAGATGTTGGTTGTGTGGATTGTGCAGTGGTGAGTGTAGTCTCAGTGTTGATGATGGTGGTGATGTTGGGCACGACTTGTGCGTTGTCGAGTAATTGTTCTGTTGTGAGTTGCGCGACATCGGTAACTGGTTGTGATGTTGGAGATGCAGATGTTGGTTGTGTGGATTGTGCAGTGGTGAGTGTAGTCTCAGTGTTGATGATGGTGGTGGTGTTGGGCACGACTTGTGCGTTGTCGAGTAATTGTTCTGTTGTGAGTTGCGCGACATCGGTAACTGGTTGTGATGTTGGAGATGCAGATGTTGGTTGTGTGGATTGTGCAGTGGTGAGTGTAGTCTCAGTGTTGATGATGGTGGTGGTGTTGGGCACGACTTGTGCGTTGTCGAGTAATTGTTCTGTTGTGAGTTGCGCGACATCGGTAACTGGTTGTGATGTTGGAGATGCAGATGTTGGTTGTGTGGATTGTGCAGTGGTGAGTGTAGTCTCAGTGTTGATGATGGTGGTGATGTTGGGCACGACTTGTGCGTTGTCGAGTAATTGTTCTGTTGTGAGTTGCGCGACATCGGCAACTGGTTGTGATGTTGGAGATGCAGATGTTGGTTGTGTGGATTGTGCAGTGGTGAGTGTAGTCTCAGTGTTGATGATGGTGGTGATGTTGGGCACGACTTGTGCGTTGTCGAGTAATTGTTCTGTTGTGAGTTGCGCGACATCGGTAACTGGTTGTGATGTTGGAGATGCAGATGTTGGTTGTGTGGATTGTGCAGTGGTGAGTGTAGTCTCAGTGTTGATGATGGTGGTGATGTTGGGCACGACTTGGGCGTTGTCGAGTAATTGTTCTGTTGTGAG